TTATATTGTAGCACTGCTAGGATTATTTACCTTTATTTTTACAAATAAATGCCAATCAAAACTGGTCCAGAAAAAGAAGAAAGCAAGAAAACTCAAGCCAATTAGAACTCATGAATAACAATAATAATATTCGTAGAGAACGAACGACAGCAGGAATCGTCCAACTAAATAACATCCTTATAGACGGCACTTCTAACAAACATGTTCTTAGAACTTTAAAGATAGATTGTACAAGCTAAGATAGCTTTATGTATATTTTCAAATCAAAACTCGAACACATTCAATCAATAAAAATTGCCAATGAACTTAGATGATCTGAATATCAATTTGATACTGTCAAATTTAATTGAAAAAATTTCATCTAACAATGGAAGGTCGTGTACTGCCAGTGGAAAGAATGCGTTCGAAACGCACATGTTTCGAGCTATTATTCGGAACGCATTTTCTTTCCGTTCTCCTCGACCTGGGAGTGTTGTGTTTAATACTCGCATTAGTACCAGGGCTGCCAAATTCAAATGTACAAAACCAATAGTTCATGAGAATAAATATATATGTTGTGAATAATTCTGAGAAAAAAATCCTTGACCACCCTCCGTCAGGGATGGTCTGGTCAATAATGACAATTCTTTCGATACCTCAGCCATTTCTTGACGGATCCTTCTCATCTTTGAACTGGACTGAGATATTAATGAGATCATTATGTGTACAAAATTTCATGACAATTGGATGAGGCTTTCAAAGACTATCGTGTCAACGGCCGGACAGACTGACCGAATCTAGAGCGTATTCACTTTTTGAGTACACAAAAATTAATAAATAAGAGTCGTTCAATAGGTGTTCATTATAAATGCAAAGTTCTATCTTAGAAAGCACCCTTTTGAGATGTGCTCCTTCAACTCAAAAGTAGTTCATTCCACCTATGTCTTCATTCTTTGCATATCAACTGATTACCGACGTATCGGCAACAGTACCATGATTCAAGTGTGAATTCACACAGATATTTGAAGAGTATGGGTAGGATACGGATGTTGATAAGCATATTAGCTATACTTACACTGACATCAGAAATGATCTATAATAAAATATGTGTAGATTTGATAAATTTGCTTTGAATTTGTCTAAACATTATGCTTGAACATTTTGAAACTCAAATAAAATCTTAAAATCTCACTAACATTCATAGGGTCATATATTGAAATTTTTGAAATCTGATATCGCATTAAATTCTCTTCCCATTCTAACATATACACGTATGTCTGCTAATAAGTGTGCGGATGCTGAACCTTCCTTTCGTTGCACAAAAGAAAATCTGCTACAATTTTTGTCTTTATCATCTGGTTTTTATATTTGAATCATACTATCAACATTAGGTCGCGATCAACTTATGTTTGTCTTTATTCGATTGTTTCCAGATTTGTTTTTCTTGCATTGGAAATTATGATTGTTTATTATACAAGACACTTACTTATGGCAGAGGTAAACATCAATCGAAATAAGAAATCAGTATAAGTTGTTAGGCGAGCATGAAAATATAGAATAGACACCTGCAAGAAAGAAGAATGATTTTTATTATTGAAAAACTGTAAGAAAAAATTAACTTTTCTGTGCCTCGATTTGTTCGAGACCGAGGTGGCCTGTCTTTGCTTGGAATACAATGTTACGCCGATCTATGAGCGATTTTATAGTCTGCAGAATCATCAACCTGTAATGAGTTGCCTAAAGGTTAACAAGAAATTTCTCATTGAAATAGTTACTGCAAATGGACTAGTTTTTATTTTTGTGACGCATTCATTTTCAATTACTTGTGTAACCCAATAGTTTTCGACATAAAACTAAATTGCTTATTTCTTTATATATGTAAAAGTCTTGGTTCAAATGTCGTATCTAAAGTAAATATACATAATGACCTGTGAAAAATAGATTGTTCACAACTCGTTAGAAGTCAAATTCGCGTACAAGCCATTAATAGAATTATTAATTTCATTAACATATGCCAGTCTATCAAGATATTTACTATACACTAATGAGAACTGCATTTTTACTTTGTATTATACGTTCATCTTTAATCAGAGCAATCAATTTAAACTCAACGGGAACAAAGTTTTTGAACATAAGATAGAAAATCTGCACTTGTTAGCCTTTTCCCACACGTTCTGTGAGATTGTATATTATAATATTTCAGTTGATATCACGATAGAATGTCTTAAATTATCTTGCATCTACACATGAAAGTGCAATTTACAAAAAATATTAACACGGAAACAGGGGCGGCGGAGCGTCATTAAGCTACGTGAGGCTCATAATATTTTGTTTTTCTACCGTGGAATTTTATGAACGCATCAAGCAAGAAATAAGTCTTCTTTTTATTGAACTGCAGTAAAAATAAAAATGGTCACTATAAAAAAGATGATTGGAAAATACCAAAAAAGACTTTTTTTTGCTCCTGCTTTGATGCACGAATCAAAAATAACAATATTCAGTACAAAAGTAAGTGAGGCTGAACCTCATCTTGTGAAATCTAGGTGAGGCTCAAGCCTCATGGGTCTCAGTGGTTTCGCCACGACTGGTTGAGCGTAACAAATCCTGAGAATAGAAAATAACAATTTGCAATCTGAAATCTGAAATCTAGGTGAGGCTAAAGCCTCACCTGTCTCAATGGCTCCGCCTCCACTGCACGGAAGTCATATATGCATATAAATGTGCAGTTTTCTACAGATATAACTGCATCTTTATGCATAAATTTATTGAATCATAGATTAATCTGTTCAATCTTTGTAAATGAACTTTTAGATTTGGATGAGAAGTGTATGGATTGTAACCGTAGTACACAAGATGAAACAATGAAAAATCACAACTCGAAAAAACATTTATCAGCAAAAATATTTTTCATTTACATAAGTGCTATTGAGATTACAAAATTTTCTATTTGAATCTATAATTTTTTTCTGTTCGATTATCAATCGAGTAGAAAACTCTTGGTTTCCATATAAGCTTAACTTCTTATTAGAGTGAAACGAATCCAAGTTCTTTATATATAGAAGAAAACGATTCATCAACATTTTGCACTATAGTCACCAATCAAATTTAATACAGCGATCGAAAACTTTTCTCACGAAAAAAATCTGGCTTCAAATAATTAAAAATGATCAATGTGAATGAATAAATCATGTTCTTTGTACATCGACCAACTATAGTTTTTGATCAGATAGTCGTCAATCAGGATTCAAACTTAAAGGAGAATGCACCAGCGGCGAGTACAACATCATAGTTCTCAGTCTTCTCAATATTTGCAACATTCATGAAAACTGATTTATAATAATAATCCGTGAATATCTTTATCATGGTATGATCTACAGGCGTTTCTCATTTCATATTGTATAGTTTTCGTTTGACATTGAAATTGTGATTAGTTAAATGGTATCATTTTTGTTTTAGATAGTATACTTTTTCTGATTTGGTATGGCATGGTAACACATGACTTTTACTCTCGAATAATTCTATCACATGTAAAATCATTCGAAATTTCGACGAAAATCAACGTTTTAGTGTTTGAGCGAACTATTCACCAAAAGAATTTCTTATTCGATTGTTGATACATCTATAATATGATTTGCATTAATTAGATATCATCTTGATGATTTCAGATAATATAGAAAAAAAGTTTATAGTTGAATAGTTTTTCGTCTAACCTTGACCTAATGTTTACATCTTCACAGAGGTATATCGCATCGAATTTTATTGGCCTTTTGAACGTAAAAGTTTCTGATTGGTTATTGAGTAGAAGCTATTAGATACCATCTACCCTGTACATATATTTATTTGATATTATGTTCTAGCTTTTTATCAGAGTTCTTTTAAATAAAAAGTTATCATATAATATACTTTTAAGTATGCGATTGTATTTTATTTATTTAAATTGAAAAAAAATTCAGTTACTTATATGCTTTATTTTGACTTTTTCAATATCGTTCCTTTGATAGATAAGATAATAATTAATAGTTGTAAAATCTGAATAAATAAAATTATTTTCTCTTTCTTGTTATTTCATTGATGACAAGGAAATTGAAACATTGGAACCTTTTTTGTAGACATGAAACAAAGGTGAAATGCACTCTTTTCTTCTGCCTTTGCGTAACTATTACGTCCAGCCTAGATGAAATTACTCGCGCGATACGACAAGCCTCTATTCGTAGGGTATCTCTGTGCATGAATGATTGAAACATAATTTATATTTGCCATTTTATTACCCCCATATACTTGTGCGTTTTATTTTTATGAATCTCTTCGTTTTTATCTTTGATTGATATTAACACTATCGTATGTATTTTTTTTAAATATTTCTTTGTAAAAGATTCCTTATTTCGCCATTTGCTAAAATTTACTAACAGTAGTGCAAGCTTTTTTCTCTCTGTTAATCATCTGTTAGATGAGAGATAATATTTGTTTTTCGTAATTAGAACTTTTTTTATATAAATTATGAAAATATTTGTATATCAAAAATTCTTACAGATTATGAAAATTGATTTCATTTTTGTACGTCACTTTAAATCCAATTTAATACTTGTGTTGTCGTGATCACACAGCAATGCTTCAAATTCAAATGAGTAAAAGGATGCTCATATTTCGGCTTGAAATTTTCTTAATTTTCAAATTCTCATTTAAAAGTAAAACTAAACAAGATGAAACAGTAGACAGAATTGCATGACTCGATCATAAAATTCTATTTGATATAAGACAGAAGTAAAATTAATCTACAGAAATTCTTCGATATCTTCAATCGATAAGTAACACATGTCTAATTAACTCTGAATAAAAACTTATGTCTTATTTAAATCATCTCATCGAGTCATATTCTATCGCGTTAGAATTGATTATCTTATTTCTCTTGACGTTCTGTTCATTGAATCGAAACAGTATACTATCTACATATATTTATTATAGACTAAGTCATTCCATAAAACATCGAAAAACTCTCTGCTCCTTGTCAGTAATTGATCACAATGTCCTCGACTGGAAAACCCCGAGGTAATTGTTTGTTTCAATTCTTTTTATTTTTTATCAATGATGCGTATACTTTAGGACGTGGTCGAGCTCGACCTACTCCAACAAGAGAAATCGATCCACCAGGTGGTGTACAAAATTATCGTGAGTCTGATGTAGCATCGTGTGCATCGGAAGCAACTGGAATTAGTACTATACCACAACGTGTTAATGAAGCTACACCATCTGATGAGGTTAGAAAAATAAGTGATTTAAAATAATTTTTCTTGACGTTTCAATATATAATTCTATACAGCAAGCTCGAGCAGAAAAGCCTCGTCGTGGAAATCCACCAAAAGTTATGCCAGGTATAATTATCCATAATCAATAAAACTTGTTTTATTTTGCTTTATTTTAGGAGCACCTCGTGGTAGTGGTGTTGTAGGTATGACATCTGAATTTTCAGCGATGCGTGTTACTTCAAGTAGTGGTCGCTCAAGTTCTCGATCAGTACCCTATTCTAGTATGTCTGAAGCTCAGCCACAAGCAACCGATAAACGAGGTAAGTGTATCAGTTAGTGCATTGTTTTGCGTTTCTATATTTGTTTTGATTTTTCAAGGTACGGCTGGTGATCCCATTAATATTATCGCAAATTATATAAAAATATTAACAAAGCCTCAATGGGAACTTTATCAATATCATATTGAATTTATACCAAATGTTGAAAATAAACGTTTTCGACGTGAAATAATCAGTCAGCATCGTGTATGAAATTTTTAATTGATTATTTTCTGATAGGAACTTTGTCATTGATTTATAGTCAAAATTGAAAGATGTAGCATTTGATGGTACAACTATTTATACTTTTGATAATTTTGGCGAATTACCCGAGTTTAGTTGTCTTCATCCAGCAACATCGGAAGAAGTGAAAGTTGTTCTGAAAAAAGTAGCTGAAAATTCACCTGATTCTCCAATATTTTTCCATTTGGCCAATCTTATTGTCCGAAAGTATGTTTTTTGGTTGTATTTTACAATTTATCGATGAAATTTTGTTTAGATTGCTTGAATTATCAGGCATGAAATTAAGTAAGTTTCTGTGACTGTAATTCTTTGTCCTGGGTTAAACAGTGTTTTTCTTTGGCATTTAGTTGGTCGAAATTATTATCAATTTGATCGTAAAATTGATCTTGATCAACATAAATTAACATTGTTTCCAGGCTTTATGACTAATGTGAATATTTATGAAGGATCTCTGATGGTCAATGTGGATTTATCTCATAAGGTTATGCTGTTTTTCGCGTAATTATTTTGTCTAAGTTCAACAATTTTTAGGTTCTCAATAAAACTACGGTATATCAACGTTTACAAGATATATTTAGTCAATATGAAGATGTTAAACATGCTCAAGACACAGCCACTAAAGAGCTAGTTGGTCAGGTAAATAGATTTTTATCAAGATATTTACTGTGCTATTCATAAAAGAAACTCTATAAAACATTGTTGGATGTGAGCTTTTCTATACAACGTGTATTGAAATCAATTATCTAATTAATATTCGAGTTAGTTTACAGAGAATTCAACATGTCGATCATTATAAATCAATAGTAGATTTTAATTCAAACTCAATCTGACGACCCACAAGAAATGTTTTTTTTTTATTAGAGAAACTCGATGACTAAACTTCTTTAGGTAGCATAATTTTATACTGAAGAAATTTTTGAAAAAAGTATGCTGTCTGCTATACTAGTGACAATAGTCGTCTATTATTATAATTATTTCTATATTATTGGTATCAATAAAAGAAAATAATGAGAACTAGAAGAGTTCTTTTTTCGATTTTCCTACAGTGTTTGACTGTTTCATGAAATTCAGAAAAATTCTTATAGAAATAAAAGAACTCTTTCATATATTAAAGAATATATATATATATCAACATTGTTATTAGATTGTGCTAACAACTTACAATTCAAAAACATATAAAGTTGACGAAATCGCATGGGAACGTAGTCCATCACAAACTTTCCCCATGCGTGATGGTTCACAATGTTCATTCATTCAATATTATGAAGATGTATGTTTAGTTGTATTATTTTTCTTCTCAATCTATCGTATTGGCTTATTTATAGAAATATCAACTAAAAATAATTGATATCGGACAGCCTCTTTTGGTAAGTAAACCGTCAAAGAAAGATCGTCGAGCTGGTGTACATGCACCATTTTTACTTATACCTGAATTATGTTGTGTTACTGGTGAGTACTTATTTTTATATTTAGTTTTTCATCTATTTAAAAGTTTGTAGGCATTAGTGATGCAATGCGGGCAGATTTTAAATTTATGAAGGAGATAGCTAGCTATACACATGTTGATGCTAATACTCGTTATAATCGTCTTAGACAATTTGTTACTGATATTCATCAGTATGTTTTCATAAATAGATAATTTAGTTTCTCCTGACTACTTCTTAATATTTCAAAATCATAGAAATTCTGATTGTCAAGATGAATTAACTAAATGGAATATCACACTTGACACTGATCTAGTCAAATTTGAAGCACGAATTCTTGATGTCGAACATATATTGTATTATGATGTAAATATTCATGTTCATTTCAGCGACTAATTGTGATTATTTATTTTTATAGCGTTCTGTAAGATATAATTACAATGATGCTGGTAAGAAAAAAAAATCGATATCAAATTTCATGATATGAATCTTGATTTCTATAGATTGGAGTCGTGATGGTCGTACAATGCGTCATATTAGTGCTAAAGCTCTCAATCATTGGGTTGTGGTTTTTCCAGCAAAAGAAGAACAAATTTCATTAGGACTTATTGATGCACTTATTCAAATTTGTAAACCATTTGGTAAAATTTCCTCATTTAATTTTTCTTCTGTTAAAATGATTTTTCTTGTAAATATGTTGTAGGCATGCATGTTGAATATCCACATATGTAAGTTCATTTTGATAGTTGAGTGAAGACAAGAGTTCGAAAACAGCGCAATCTATCTTTCAGACAACAACTAGTAAATGATCGACCTGAATCTTATCTTGAAGCATTACAAGATTTTTCACCTGGTAAAACAGATCTTGTATTATGCGTATTATCTAGTAATCGAAAAGATCGTTATGATGCATTAAAAAAATTTTTATGTCTCGATAATCCGATACCGTCACAGGTAGATTTTCTTTCTTTCATTTTTTTATTATAAAATAGCGCATTATTATTATTATTATTTTATTCTAGATGGTTGTCACAAGAACATTGAAACGACAAAATCAATTGATGTCTGTTGCAACGAAAATCGGTATACAAATAAATGCTAAATTAGGTGGTGAAGTATGGGGTGTACAAATTCCAACAAAAACTTTAATGGTTATTGGAATGGATTCGTATCATGGTAATTGAAAAATTCTTAGTATCACTATTACATAACTATGTAATAGAAATGATCCAACTAGAAAACACTACCATTCAATTAGAAGTTTCTGTAAAAATCTGACATTTATCTACTAATAAAGTTTTAACTTAACGAGTTTTCTCACATTTCAGTTTCAAAATATTAGAAACGTGGTAATGAGAATTTTTATTTTTTTCTTAGACTCGAAACGTCGTGGCGCTTCCGTTGGTGCATTTGTTGCATCAACAAATCCAACATTAACAAGATTCTATTCACGTGTTATTTATCAACGTACAGCACAAGAACTCATGGATGGTTTAGCTGTTTGTATGAAAGGTATGTAAGAAAAATGTAAATTTATAAACTGATTTTTTTCTATCTAGATGCATTAAAAGAATACTATCAAAGTAATAATTGTCTACCAGAAAAAAGTAACTTTCAAAAATTTAATCGTAATGAAATTCAATATATATATACTTGTTCTTAGTTATTATTTATCGAGATGGTGTTAGCGATGGTCAATTGGCAGTTGTTGTTGAACATGAATTACCACAAATAATCGAAACATTTCCAAAAATAATGTCTGGTTATCAACCAAAACTTGCTGTTATTATCGTTAAAAAACGTGGTAATGCTCGATTTTTTCAGCAAGACGGTCGCAATATACAAAATCCTCAACCGGGAACTATTATTGATCATACTGTTACAAATGTAAATTTTTTAAAACAAAAACAAGATGTTTCATATTCATATGCGTCTTTTTTGTTTTTTTGTTTTAAGCCTGAATGGTACGATTTTTATTTAATCTCACAGTGTGCTCGACAGGGTACAGTCGCACCAACGCATTACAAGTATGTTCAATATGTTATGGATTAAATGAATATATGTTTATTTTATTTTATTTTATAGCGTTATTTGGGATGGAACAAATTTAAAAGTTGATCATATACAACGATTAACATATAAATTGTGACTATTGATCAATGCTTTTTTTTTCTTATTTGAAGACTTAAATTGTTTTATTATAGATGTCATCTCTATTATAATTGGCCAGGTACAATACGGGTACCAGGTAATATTTTTATATTTAATATTTTACTATTTTAACACTACGAATTTGTTTTAGCTGTTTGTCAATATGCTCATAAATTAGCATTTTTAGTTGGCCAAAGTCTTCATCAAGATTTTAGTCTGACACTTGCAAATAAACTTTTTTATTTGTGAAAATCTCATATCAAAACCACATCAAAAAAAATTTGTTCTTTGTTTACTTCATTCAATCGTTTTTTACTATGAATTTTGTTATCTTTCAATATTCCAATTAATGCATTGCATGGCACTGTTTCTTTTTTTTTGTTATTCAATCGATAAAATAAGTTCTTTCTTTTTTGTTTTAGTCCATTAATATTCATAATATGTACAGTTTTATTTGTTTTGATTTTTGCTTGTGAATTCTTTCAAAAAACGAAATTTTTTTGTCTTTTATTTTATTGTGATACGAATAAAAGAAAAAATAATCGCTATAAAAATATGATTTTAGGTTCAGAAAAATAATATTTTTAGATGATATGAATCTATTAAAGATTATTCGTTGGACTTTTAATCCACAGAAGTATTCATTTATTACTGTGAGATCATGTTTAGGTAGTAAAGGACAAATACGTTTGCAAACAACTGATGTACCACCTAAAGAAGAACCATTAGCTGATGTTAGTACAAAAGTGACTCCGATGAAAAAAAGTAATCTTATGGAATTTTTCGATACATCTGATAGTGTACATGACTCGAAAGTGATACATGGTAGGATGCTTTCACTGTCGCAATGAGTTTTTTGACTATGATTAAATAATTTTTAGGACGCTGGTGGCGTGTAGATGAATTACGTTTAAAAAGCAATGAAGATTTACATAAACTATGGTAATAAATTGTAAAAACAAAACATAATACTATTTTTGTGTCCTATTTTATTATCGATTTAGGTATGTTCTTTTAAAAGAGCGTAATCGTTTATTAACTATGGAAGAAGAATATCGATATCAACATGAATTGTTTCCTAATCCTGAACGTATTGATAAAGTAAATTAAAAATTACTCATACATTCTATTTTGCTATTTTCTCAATTGAAAAAAAAAATTCGATTTTAAATTTAGGTTGAAGAAAGCATGCGTAATATAATGTCAGTTATACGAGAACGTGATATTGCTTATAATCTATTGGAAACAGGCAAAACTAATGAACAAACTCCTGAAATACGGTATGATTATAATTAAAATTCTATTCATATATTATTATATGTTTGAATTTCAGTGAGACAAGTTTTGGTCTTCTACGATATTATCAACCAAAAGAACGTATATTACCCTTTTATAAAAATCGCTATTATCAGTTATTGTGGGGTAAACGTAAAGCAGCGGTATGTAGTCTTTGTATTTTTTGTTCTTGAATTAAATATCTTGACAATTATTATATTTGAATTTTAGCCATGGACAAATATATTTAAACGCCGCTATAATGAATTTCAAGAACATCAACAGCATCAAGAAACTAATCGTATTAGAAAGATTGTTGCTGATCTATTACAAAAATATCCACATTTGCGTAATGAAGAAGAACGTGTCATGGAAGAATATAAGAAACGTTATGATTTCGAGCAATTTCATATACCAAAACGATTAGCTCGACGACCGAAATTACGTGCTCATCAAACTGTATGGAATCAAGATGAATTTATTGAAAACGGTGCTTTTGAAGATCCGAATAGTGAAGATTATGAACGTTTGCAACAAGAGAAACTTGTTCGAATGAATAGAAAGAAAACATAAATAAAATATGTGCTGTTTGTTGGTCTTCTTTCAAAGATAAATGAAAAAATAATCTTTTTTTTTAAATTTTCAATCACAGATGATACCAAATAAATGACTATCATTTACCACAAATAGAAATCCACAGACACATCTATACATCATATCCACACTTGTGGTGAATAAAACAAATATGACCCATTCTGGTGGCCAAATAGGGATTTTTCAATTTAAGGATTTTTTTTTATACAATATCTTGTTCAAGTCACAACCGAACAAGGTCCCAGTTAGAGGTTCATCAATACCAGTATACTGGGTACTGGTAACACTGATGACCAGAATCATCTCTCCGAGTTTCTGATAAGAAGAATTACGTTTCGAAATGATTCTAATGAATATTGGATATGTATGATTCTGGTAANACAATATCTTGTTCAAGTCACAACCGAACAAGATATTGTATAAAAAAAAATCCCTAAATTGAAAAATCCCTATTTGGCCACCAGAATGGGTCATATTTGTTTTATTCACCACAAGTGTGGATATGACGTATAGATGTGTCTGTGGATTTCTATTTGTGGTAAATGATAACCAACCAGTTGTTGAAATCAAAAAAATTAAAAATAACACAAAAAATGGAATCTTTTTTAGACAATTTAATTGCTAATAAAAAAAAACTATTTCACTCATTTCTATCTAATAATGCATTGCTATTTCAATTTAATTCACACTGACATAGACAATTTTGATTTTTCAAATAACCCTTTAATATGTGTCTTGGCCGCATCAGCAAGTAAATCTCGATGCAATCGTTCACTATCACCATCATAAAAGGTTGTACTAGTTTGTGCATCTAACAGCCATGCGCCTAATATTTTTAATGCTTGCTGTTCATTGTCAACACTTTCTACGTAGATAATATGTTTTCCTTCATGTCGTTCTCCAATTAATGTATAAAAATATTCTTTGGTAAGAAAACCATGACGAGCTGTTTTCGGTCCCATTATTAATATTCTAAGAGAATTGCGTTCAGTATCATTAAAATGATGTTGATACCATGGTCTTATTTTTGAATCGAGCATATCAAGATGCATACGTGCAGCTAATTCAATATTAATTGAAAATAACGTTTGTATTTGTTGACAATATGTTTTTAATTGAAGTTTATCAACAAATTTTCTTTTCAATACAGTTCGTAAATATTCGATTGATAAATCAACAATATCATCTTGATTCTGTTGTGTATACGTTGGAAATTGAATAGAATTTTGAAGAGAACGAATATCTCGTAGATATTGTTTTAATTCAATATATTTACTATCAGATAAATTTCCAGAATTAAACAAAAGCCTGAGATAGATTGTTAATGGAATGTGGGATATAGATTTCAAATCATGATAGAGTTTAGGTATTACTTGTTCTTCGTATCGTTGACCACGATGTAGTACTGTAGCAGTATCTCCAGTACAAATAATGATTGGACTGATAGTAGATATTAAATGATCACGAGCACGATCGTATGCTGCTAGGAATTGTTCATTTAAATCGTATAATGCATCAGAATGAACGTATATTATCGATGTAAAAATAAGTGTTATTAACATCATATATTTCCATGTCATATTTCAATTGAAGAAGACTAAGCTTTAAAAGTACAAAATTGTTAAGAAAACTGTTCTAGAGTCTTTTTTCAGGAAACGACAATGTTTCTATTGACTAGAGAAAGAACGAATGGTATGGTAGTATTAACCCTTTACGGCCGGCTACCAGAAGATAGGAAGAAAAAAATTCTTCTTCTATATATTCTTTGTCTCTTAGGTGTGGAGGTTACAGAATCCCATCTTGGAGTTTAAAGAACTGATATTAAGCCGAATGCCAACATGTTGCCTTTTGGCAACATCCGACCGTAAGGGTACAAAAAGTTGAAAAAAGTCAATTATTATTCCTCGATATAAGATCAATAATTTGCTGTTAGTTTCAGTCCAGACTGTGAAGCAAAAGCATACTTTGTTCATCTGCCGATCTCTTACAGCTGTAACGTGAGATACATTCCCATAATACTCAAAAACCTTCTGAAATAGTGCAAATTTCGCCAATTTTCCTAGAGAAACTCACAAATTTTGCAAGATTCTAACAAGATTTACAGCACATCAAAGTATTCATATTCAGACTATCATAAAACATTACCAATATTGGTAAAATCTTATTAAATTTGTGAGCCTCCCTAGGGAAAATAGATGAAATATACACCATTTTCGAAAGTTTTTGAGTATTATGGGAATATGTATCACGTTAGGGCTATAAGAGACGGGCAGATGAACAAAGTATGCTTTTATTTCACAGTCTGGACTGAAACTAACAGCATATTATTGGTCTTTCATCGAGGAAAAATAGTTGACTTTTTTCAACTTTTTGTACCCTTACGGCCGGATGTTGCCGAAAGGCAACATTCTTGTACTGTGTTCTTTGAATAAACTGAATGATTCATCTTATTGGCATAATAGATAATGGATCTGGAGAGGAAAATTAACCGCTAGTTACTTCTCGCATCGAATGCTCGGACAAATGGAAAACAGATCATTTCGACTCGGGGGCGGTTTTGGGTTTCGGCGGGAGAATTCATCCCTTTCGTCAACAATAGCGTTCTCCTTTCTCGAAAAGGCATAGGTTTGCCCTAAAATACGTGTGATTAATTATCAAATAGCTTAACGAACTATATCTCATCACTTTAAGATAAATCCTTAGATGATATTGGCAAAATTTTGCCAAAAGGCAACATCCGGCCGTAAAGGGTAAATAGAGATGGACGAAACGACAAGCATTGAGATCAAAATAGTTACTAATAATAGAAGAACCTATGCTTGAATAGCAATGTACTTGATGACTAATGCTATGAATAGCATGGCGTAACAGATGTCTAGTTAAGCACTCAATGGCACTCAAACAACGATTTCGATTTATATGTCGAAATCAACATTGAAAATACGATAATTTGTAATAATATTTATTTCAGAAAGAAAATATATTGCTCTTCTAAAAAGACAACTGTGACACAACTTGAGCAATCAAGAATTGATTTAAAATAATTATTAGTATTTTTTGTGAATCTGAATCAGAGACCGAAGCGAATGGCAAAAATGCCATTTGATTCGATTCGGCTTTTTTCGTTTTTGCAAAATTGTAATTCGATTCGATTCGACTCAAATTGGATTTACAACACATGGTACTCACTATTACATAGTATTGTTGTTTTCAGACTATCATCTTCTTAGAATGAAAATAGTCTGTCGATCTTCTATAGAAATATGTTGAATAAATATAATTTATCAATATATACATAAGAATTATTCATGTTTTTCAAGAAGGAATACATAAAATATAAATTAATGAACACATCTAAGTAGACTAATTAAATAAGTTTATTTTCTATAGAACGAAGAAAAATAATATCATTTACTGTATATGGATCTATATTTACAGTTGACCGTAGCCATGCTTAATAAATAAAGAGGTTGATATCAAGACCCCAATCGCACTGGAATTGTGAATAAAGTTAAAGTCTTATTCAGTAATCTAATTGATACATTAAGAGTTAAAATCACCTCTAAAATATTACTTAACTCTTAATGCACCAATCACATGGCTTAATTCAACTGTAATGTTAATTTACTTCTTAGTGTGATTGGGCCCTAAATTGAGTAACCGAAAAAAAGAAGGAAAGAAAGAAAGAACGTCCGTTGTAGATGGGCATTTCTTACACCAATTAAAGTGCACTTAACCATGAGTGAGAGTGCCTCATGTATTTACGAATTGTATGCAGCTTATCTCAACAATTAATCTACTGGTCTCAAGTATCACGTGGATCTCGACTTTCAGTATTACATGAATATCTAAAAACTAATCTCTAGCCAAAGTTCTTGGGCTTGAGCAAATCGTGTACAGTCTGTGAAACTTTTCATAAATTGAAGCTACTGTCATTAATAAGATCTACAATATTCGACAAGATAGGCTTTTAGATAGATTTTCGAAACATCATTCAATTAGATTATTTTCTATTTTCGTTTGAATTATAGAACCATGTTCTCTTCTATATAAACGTCATAGATGAACAACTTTTTTCAAATATTGTTGTATGCTTGTACAATCTTGTGAGATACTATCACATATATAAATTAATGCTATTAAAATGAAGATATAACTTGAAGCTTTAGCATGATGATTTAATTCTAATTGGATGAGTTCTAACTATACAATTTGATTTATGAATAGCAAACTGATTGTTTTCGGAAAATTGTCTTGAACTTGAATAGCATACGGAAAGAGTGATTTCTTAAGATATTTAAATATGGTGCTCATTCAATCACGTCTCATTATGATGCGCATATGAAAATTTTCTTCAATACAGCGATCGCTTTGGATACGAGTATTTGAAAAATGAAAATTATTTTATCATCGGTATTCAAAAAAACCAAAGCAACTGGACGCTCTCAAGTTCTAAACTCCAATGCAACTTTCAATCATCGTTTTAATAGAATATTATCTGAATTTTTTCATCTTCGAGAGTTCAATACGCTTTCCGATGCTCTAGTATGTAAATATATCTTAATTATAGTTCAGAACATATCTTTCTATTTTTTGTTATTATAATGTTACAAAAAGCTGGCTTTTGATTCAGCTTCACATCTAAACCATTAATCACCACTAGATCAATGAATTCGATACTAGATAAAATATATAAAATACTTGCATTGTATGTATAAACAACAATAGTTTCAAAGTTAAAATTAGAATATATAAAAATGTAAACTAAATTTGTTTTTGAATTGCTATCAAAAGGCATCTATCATCTTCTGACGACATCTATTTATAACAAACGAACGTACGAAAAATTCTATTATTCATTTGTAAAAACTTTCGATTATTTTTCTACTATTCAAATACCATTCGATTTTTAGTCTTTCAGTATAATATTTATTATTTATTAGTATTTCACACAGACTCATTTCTTGACCATAGACAAAAGAAAGAAAGTAAAAATGAATGAGCTTGTCACAAAGAGAAATGCATCGTAATATCATAGTATAGCATGTTAACAGATTTGTATCCAGTCGTTTAGTTTTTATTTATCATTCTATCAGAATTATACGTTAACAATTTATTTTTCCTTAATATAACTCTTTTGTGTGTGTGTGATGAACAAAGACTTTTCCCTTTAGTGTCTAGTACATTTGCTATTGAAATTTCTCTTCGCTCTTTTTTTTCCAATATTGTGACGCTGTATTTGTATATATTATTTTCATTTGTTTTGACATGTAAAATAAGAAATCTTTATGAAGTTGATAAAGACTATCTTGAAAAAGAAAAAAATAAACAAAAGAAATGGTATGTTTACTTCACATGAAATTTCATTTTAGTTGGACTATTTATTTAGCATCGTTGGTTCACGATTTTCCAATATTATAACCTAATGGAAAAATATCAATAATTATTTCATTAGATTCTTTGCATCTTTCTTTTACATTCTTTTCAATAACTCATAGAAATAAGCTACAAAAACAAATATAAATTTATTTGGTTTTCTTAAGAAGTAAATATTATCTTGTTAGATTGATGATAAATATAAGAGAAATAAATTTTATATTAAACATTATATTATTAGTTTAATGTCATTATTCAACATAATAGCATTAATCTTTTTCCGTACCATGAGATGAAACAGTTAGCTTCTTTTCTGTCTTTCCAAGAGTTTTCTATACGATATTTGAATAAGTATCTATCGTTGGTTAATTTTAAAAAATACGAATATTGAGTGTACTTTTTTCTTCAAAAGTAACTAAAACAATTTAAACAAAGCTGCTCTCTATTTCAGATCCTATATTTAACACAAACAATGTCAACAACAATACGAAGTAAAGAAAATGATTGTGATTTTCCTTTATTTAAAACACCACTTCGTACTGCTATGTTTACACCAGGTAAAAATTTATTCGGAATAAAATAAAATCTTAAGAATTTAAAAACAATTTCTAGTACGCAATCGTATGTTATCATCAGTGACAATGAATGATATAGCTTTTTATTCAAATCATATCAAGAGTCTCAAATTTACTGGTACAACCAGTATGAATGATTTACAATCGTGTAATGATACAATAAAAACACCAATTCGTTTAAATAAAATTAAACTTTCAACACCAGTATCTATTCAACGCCGTCGTGCCTTAGGACTTGTGAATAACAATAATCCGATATGTCATACATTACCTAATGATGATCCTGCATTATTAGCTAGTTTTAAAGAAGTAAATAGTAAACCGGATGAACCTGTCATAGCTCAAGTCCCATCTACTAATATGACACGTTCTAATTCAGAAGATGATCTTCCACAAAGAAGTAGTCATTCTTATGAAGATACATTTGATGATCTTATACCAACTGATGAACGCATTGAACGTATGCTTACCAATCAAACAAATGGTATCAATTTGTTTGCCTTTCACGCTGGCATTGAAAATACGATTCGATATCAATCACCACATTGTTCTCGCATTGATGTATCTAGTCTACTTGATATGCTCAATTAGACATTCATTTCGAAATATTTCATTTTTCAAATGTTATGAATCGGTTTTTGTCCATAATCACGCAAATCTTTTTCTTCTTCTCACTTAGTTTCGGATATAAAAAAGTTGACTGTAGAAATATGTTTTCTTCCCTTTTTACTTATTTTTTTGGTCGCTGTGTATATCTGTCCTCTAGTCTATTTACGCATGACTGTATGCGTGTTTGTGTTTAGAAACTTGTCAGAAAATAAATACTACGAATGACTCTAAAAATAAAATAAATTTTCTTTTTATAGATTAATTGAAAAGAAAAAAACTTGCTTTTTTATGGATAGTTTACCAGCAGTTGGTGATCGTAATACACAAACAATTGTATGTTCTTTCTGTGATGATATTATACTTCGTCCACAAACAGCCATTTTAACAAATAAACCAACATTATTACCACAAATGAACATTGAAAAAACTCCGTCATCAGATACAGAAAGTAATCGTCTGTCAATCAATGGTAGTGATCATATATGTGATTCATTAGAATCATTTTGGCTTGTATCGGATATGTTTACATTTGAAAATGTTGGTTTCTCAAATACAGTTAATAATCAAACAAAATATCTTGTTTGTGCTAATTGCGAACGCGGTCCAATAGGATTTTCTCCGATAAATCCATCAACTAGGCAATTAGAAAAAGAGTTCTATGTTGCTATTGACAGAATTAAATACAAATAATCATTTATAAGATACATTCTTTTGTGCATGAAAAAAAAACAATTATTTTTTTTTGTTCAATCCAAATAGAGAAATAACACAAAACAATTTTTTTGTTTTGTTTCAGATGACGAACTATAAATGGGATATGAAACAAAACTATATGCTAGCGTTTACTGTTTGTAAATATGGTTTGAATTCAGAACGATGGGATTTAATTTCGAAAGATCTAGCTGATTTTATTGATACAACACCACAAGTAACTACTTGTAGTTATTTTGGAACTAGTTCATGCTTATTCCGGTACTGCTTTTTTCTTTACAGATTTGTAAAGCACAATTCGGCCTTTTGTGTCAACAATACAGCCAAGACTGGTAAATAAATACAATATTGAACGAATTTGTGGAATACGACCTAAAGAAATTGTTTTGCAGTACGGAATGGAACGGACCTTATTGTTGTACGAAAAAGATCATATATTAATAACGTCTCGTTCTATTATATGACCTAACTTATTACACTTTACGTGGGTTAAATTAAATATTAAATTAGGAAATATGTTCAAAAATAGAAGGAATCTTTCTCTTGTTAATCACATGAAAGACTTTGTTTAAGTTGTTTTGGGAATGCGCTAGGAACTTTTTCAGATAGATTTACTTTGTCTAAAAAAATTGTATGCTTTTAAGTGTGAAGAGATAAACATTAGTTACCTTGCATTCTCATAACCATATGTGAAGGTTAAATTTTCTTTGAAACAAATTCGTCCAAACAACTTTACCAGTAGTATGTTTGCTGAAGTGTTTTATATCGAAATTTTTCTTCTTTTCAAGGCGAAAAGAATTAGCTGAACCTCTTGATAGCTATGTGTTTTCAACAATAAAACGTATTTATTATGGTGATCTATGTGGAAGAATGGCTGAATCAAGAGATTTGCTTATGGCCATATATGATTTCATACATTTGTTTAAAACTGGTCGGCTTAAACCAAATGATATAGGTGATATTTTACATGATATTAAAAATAGGTAAAAGAATCAATCTCTCTTGTTTGTGTTATCGTTATGAAATTGCTTCTACGCTTTGTTTCCTCTTAGTGCTTCAACTGATAGTAATATCCAAGCTAATGAACGAGAACAAAAAATAAAAATGCTTGAGCGTCTTAAATCACATATGACAAAACAAGTATCGATTGTAAAAATCATTTTCATAATTGAAATTTTAGTAGAACCGAATAATCTAAATATCTTTTTTTTCTCTTTTATTAGCATCAATATTCATCATGTCCAGTTGAATTGCTACCTCCACTACCACCAGCCTTTCATCACCAACCAATAATTAAACATCATATTTCTCAAGAAGAACCGGTCGAAGCGAAACTTGAAAATGATCGTCAAGTACCGTCAATTGATAATCATATTAAATCTGAAACAACATATACATCGCCATTTCCAATAATCGCACAGTCAAATAATGTTTTTCTTAAAGATGAAAAAGATCTTTCAAATAATAATAATAATAATAATAATCAATCAAATGAAGCTGATATCGAAGAAATTGAACTTAGTTCAAATAATGATGATGATGGCGATGATAGAGTCGAAACAGGATACACGCCTCATAAGGATGAACCCATAAATAGTACAAGTATAGTTATTGAACAGGATGAGTCATCATTTATGTCTGCTGAACAAACGGAAATAAATGAATCATTAACTATTCCGCCACTACCGCCAGCACCAGCAACTTTTGAAGTATCTAATTCGAATGATAGATATTTATATGAACATGCAAGTAGTACTGGTATTAGTAATCAATCAACATCCGATACTCGACTATCGACTGAAGAACAAACATCGTTCAGGTATATCTAATATTTATATTCTTTATTTCTTAGTTCATGATTCATATTTCTAGTAGTAATGTTCCATTGGTAGCATCGAATCATTATCTGAATACAAATGTAAGTAGTTCGAATGATAACTATATGTTCGGTACTGATCAAGTGCAACTGACACAAGATCAAAATCGTCATGTAACTGAAAATGAATCGATTTCAACAACATCAAGACGTGTGTCTGTTGAAGACAATGAAACGAACCAAATGGATACGACTGAACAAAGTCTCGATGCTCACACTGATGTTACAGTACAGAGTAATCATTATGCTAGTTTTGCTGTTGATGAAACAGTATCAAATGCAGATACTTCTAAAGCTTCAATTATATCAAAATCCAATGAAAATGATGAATCAACAGTAGCAAATAGTTCGAAAAGAAAATCACGGTATAAAATTGAATCTTTTAGAACAAAAACAAAAACAAAAACAAAAATCAAATTTATTTTTATTTTTTGTTAAGTTTGAGAACAGTCTCAATCTCAAACAATTACCGTAAATCAATTATGTCAGTTCTTGCTAATTTAAAAACTGCTAAGTAATATAAATTTCAATTGTGTTTCTTTTTATGTATTAACTTACTTTAGATATGGTTCTGATTTTGCTAAACCACTTAAGTCATTTAAATTACCTGAAGAATATTATGTTCATGTCAAGAAACCATTAGATATACCTGAAATACGTGAACGTATGAATAATGGTGATTATGATGATAATCTTCTATTATTTGAACGCGATATTTTATTAATGTTTACTAATGCTTTATCAATGTATCATCGAGATCTAGATATTCACGGACATGCACAATTCATGTTAAATTATGCTATGGAATTATTTTTAGTAAGAAATTTTTCATTTTTATGATACATGACCCAAAAAGAAAGATTGAAGTATAGAGATAGAAATCTGAATCGTGTTTTCTAAAGACGACAATGAAAGTTTCTGATAGGAACTTCGTGTACATACAAAAAAAAAACAATCTTTGGTCTACTGATTATTATGATTGTAGCATAGAAAAATTTTAAAAGAGTCTTCAAAATATGAATTTCTATCTATCAAGCCTCGAATACCATTATTAGATGTTGATTCAAGGTATTTCGTTAGTTTTTTTACTATCATTTTCTTTGAATTATTATCTTCGAATTCGAATCGATGACATATTGATAAATATTCGGAGTCATTATTGCATTCATCAATCATTGTACTTATTTCAATACGTAAGTCATCACTAGATCTATCACGATTATCAAAGTTTGAATTTTCACCGTTACAAGTGAACGCACGTTGTTGTGAATCATGACTGATACAAATAAAGTTTAGTACTAATCCGTATCTAGCTAACAATTGCTATTTCCTTTCACCGAAGAAAATATACTTTCCTTTGTTATATGACAAGATATTCTTTCGTAGACATTTCTCTGCATTTGTTCAACAGAAAATGTTTTCTAAATTTAGTATCTTACCATAACATTCGGATCTTGTAGTATTGCAAGAAGTTCAAGTAAAAAAATTTTTGAAGCAATATGTCTTTAAATCAAATGTATTTTCATCCGATTAACAAAAACGACTTGATTGTATTTCACATCTATAATCTCAATAATTATGCTTACAGCTTTTTGTTTTTAATAAAAATTTAATCGTCTTTATCTATTTCTAGCCTATCGAAAACGCGCGTACTCCGTGGAAAAACGATGATAATCAAGTTGATGATAATGATTCATCAAGTATGTTTCATCGTGATAATGAAACGGATAGTGATGATAATATATTGAATACTTTATCAAATATTCGAACACCTTCAAAATTATCACCATCGTCGTCATCCAGTCTTATTGATTCATCAACAAAAAGTCTTCGACGTCAAACAACACCAGATCATCGAATACATAAACGTCAACGTAAAACGATTCAATAATAATTTTTATTATGGTTTGGTTACACTTATACTATCTCTTTCATCAGAACTGTAGTTTTTACGTATTTGATTTTTTTTGTATGTAGTTGTATATGTTAATAATAATTTCTTGTTACACAAAAAGAGCCATTATGTTATTTCTTATATTCTTGCTATAATGCAACTGTGTTGATTTGAAATGCTTGAAAAAAAATTAAAAAAATAAAACTTCGTCTATAAAGAGAAAATATAAATATCTATTCAGGCAGAAGATAATTTCGATCTGTAATTCCACTATTACTATATTTCAAATGGACGAGCGCTTTATTTGCGGAAACACTTGTAGTTGCTGGTGCATGTGCAGAATGATGATAGCGTTGTGCGGAATTTTGAATATTTTGATACTGAACTAAATGAACAAGTGGTTGAGTACTTTGCTGCTTTTGTTGTTGCTGTTGCGGACGAAGAGTCGTGGATGCAGATGGTATAGATCGTTTAGGACTACGTGTAGATACGGGTTCAACACCATTAGTTTTACGTGGTAATAAATTAGATGAATCGGAAATATTGTCAGGACTATCTGGTGGAACAGGTACAGGTGATGAAATATTATTTGAATGATCAATAGGAATATCGAACATAACATGAAGTGTTTTACTACGTTCTAAATAATGAATTGAATCATCATTCTTCTTTCCGATAACTGCTGGTAAGTGAGTTGTGGATGTATTGGCTGATGTTTGACGTGTGTGAAAATTTTTGACAATAGAGATTAAACGTGTTTGAGGCAATATGTCGGAATGTGCTGGTTGACGATATGCTGAACGACGCTCAAGTAATCGTGTATTTGTACTATTATAAGTACCAGCTGATCGAGGTGGCGAATTTTCGCTCACAATTTTTTTCACCGAAAGTGACAGATGATCAGAAGAAGTAAAAGATGCTGTATCTGATGTAAAAGGTGATCCAAGCGAATTGTCTTCGAAGAAGAAGAAGAAGAAGAAGAAATCAAGAATGTATCATTTTGTTTTCTGACTAAATCAAATACCTTTTAATGCTTGTGCAGTAATTTTAGAATCTTGACGTGGTTTTTCAAGTTGTAGTTTTGCTTGTACTAATTCTTGATGAGTCCGTTTAATCATGGAATATTTTTGCATCAATTCATGAATCATTAAAGTATTACCAGATCCTAATGTACCTTTTGGTTCATAACCTGTAGATGTTTGTTTGATATTTGCAATTAAATTTTTTGATGACATCGGCTTTTCTGATGTGCCTGATGGCAAAGTATCATCAGTACGATTTGTTGAAGATGATAGACGACGAGCTTCTTGACGTGTACGATGACGTTTAATAGTTTTGTTTGATGTCTTAAAGTCCGATTTACTTGTATTACTACTTTTACTTGAACGTGGTCGTTCTTCCGTTGGATATTGTAGATAATCTTCATAATGATAAACACGAGGTATAACAGCAGGTTCAGGTTTTTTCGAAAGTGTTTCATCAGTTGATGCAGTAGTAATAGTTATTGTTGATGCTGCTGTTTTTATGATGCTCGATCGAAGACTTTTGATAGATGACGACTGAGGCGATTGAGGTCTTTTTTCTGTTGTTTTCGAATCAGATGTTGGTTCTGGTGGTAATGGTAGTGTGGGTACTGGTAGTATGGGTAATGGTAGTGGGGGCGTTGTTGTCGTTGCTGTTACTCGATTTATATGCTCATCATCATTATTATCATCATCATCAGCACCAGCTTTAGGCAACCAAATTTCTAATGAACATTTTTGTCTAACATTACCAGTATGCGCAGATCTTTCATAAGTTACTTTATCAAGTGGTAAACTACTGAAAGTTTTTTGTGATTTAATTCGTTTATGTGCTGATGATGAAATACGAATATTTGCGGTTGCTGATTTTTCATGATTTGACACAAAACTTGTTTCATATAGTCCGTCTATTGATTCTCGATTAGTGAAATCAGTATTTAATTTTGAGCTAACATATTTATCAAGTTTTGCCCGTGCAGCTATTAAACGCTTAAGTGTAGGCGAATTAGCACGTAAGAGTTCAACAGTAGGTCGTGCTGATGTAGCTAACTTTGTTGAATCATTCGTATTATGATAACCAGAGAATATACTAGCTATATCATCTTTGGTTAATCGATTATCGAAATTCGCACGTAGGGCTTCGGCGTCATTAGATACTTTTGGATCACTACGATAACTTGAAGGCGCAGGTGCAACACGATCAAGCATAGGGAAGCCTATTGTTTTTTTTGAATAAAATGAATAACAGGATTCTACTTTGTATCGTATTTTATGCACAGTGACATTCAAAAAATGATATTTCAAGAAAGAAGAACCAAGATTAACACTTACTTTTATTACGTTTCGTTGTCATTTAAACTACAAGGTAAAATACTGTGAATTATCTCTAATCATTTTTGTTGTGTCTTTGTAGTATTCACTAAAATATCGAATTTGAATGTTAATGCAATACATGTGTCCTTTTTTTTATAATATTCTGTCACATGTATGAATTTTGCTTCGAGTTTTTAGCGATAGGTAAGTAAACATAAAATTTTTCAACTATTTCATTTAATTGGCCATATTTTTCTTCTTCGTTTTCTTCGTCACACATCGCTTTACTTTTGTTTGTCTTTACATTACTTCACACATTTATTTCGCGTTTTTAAAATCCATTGACATTTTGATGTATGTCTTCATGTTTGTCAATGTTTAAGCATAACATTTTGCAGATTCTATGTACAAAGATGAAAATGTTATTGAAACCTTATGAAAATCATTTAGAAGGCTTTGCTGTTATTTGTTTTTAATAAAAATTTGACAAGCAGTTTCATATTGGAATGCAGATTAGTTTTCATTTTTATTAATTCTAATTTGCAATTTGATTTCATTAATCTAAAACTAAGACAACCATATAATATTGCTGTTGTCTGTTTCTCGTGCGGCTTTAATATCACACATCAATTTTTAGAATGTGTGTTTTTTGTTATATCTTCAATAAATGAACTGAAACGTTTATGTTTTCAAATATCTGTCATGTCATTGTTTGATAAAATGCTAGACAAGTACTTAGGTAAAAAAAAAACGATGACTGTAGATATAGAAGTCTTTCGACAAGACAAAGCAAAGTGCTATCACGTAAGTATTTGGAGATGATTAAATACTCATTCGGTAGTTGATCGTACCGTTTGTTTAGTATTTCACATGAGCAATATCCTCTTAATATGAATGAATAAATAAATATATATATTTGAAGGACGTAATTTATAATCTTTGATATCCATATAACTATTTACGACCATTGAAAACCAAAACGTAATAAAAGAAAATTAACGGCAATAAACATGAAGGAAAGACAGGATTAACTAAATAATATAGATCTACCTTAGTACGCACGTAATAGTATATTTTATTTTTCCTTCAGATAGAAAACAAAGTTATTTCATTGTTTCTTTTTCATACGTATCTATGACAGTAATCAATATGATGATTTTTTAACTACAGAAGAAGTTTTTCTGTTTATAAATGCTCTCGAAACCTGATGATTCAATAGAGATTACAGGTAAAAAAATAGCTATAGTACCTACGAATCATCGTCACTATTAACATAATCTTAAATATGCGCTTTCATAAAAAAAACTGCTTGTCATTGTTGACGGTTGATTGATAATAAATATTTTTTTATTCTTACATTTTCTTGATGTAAATAATGCTTAAGGTCAAATTTAGAGTATAAAGACTCCAGCATGGTTTTACATTCGAAACATTATACTGACAGATAAACTAGAAGATTGCGATACTCCTAAATATCATACATAAATAATGACTCGATGTCAGGTATACGATATTCTAGGAACAACACTACAACAAATATTGACTTTGACATAATATCATAGGTGAAAATGCACAAGGACTACTAATTTGATAAAACATTTATCACGAATATTGACAGAAATAACTAATAAATTCTAACTTTAAATTTTAAATTTGTTTTAGATGATTAAATTTATCTTTATCTTAATTAGCATCAAACTTGCATATGGTTATCCAGACGGTGCACCCAACAGCATCTGTACCGTAATGTTGTCTCATCATGATGTTTCTCCAAAAATATGTCAACCAAAATATATTATTCAATCCGATACATCTGAATATGATATTAATCAGATTCTTCGAAGTAATATTATTCATTTAAATAAATGTGGAAACTTCGGATTTCATCCGAAAGCTATGTGTACTGCAAAAAGTACATGGGACATATAAGTCATTCTAGAATGTCTGAACACCAAAATTACCATGAGAAACTAGGCACTTTGGTTTCTGGATGCAGTTTTTGTGCATTTTGAGACCGTTTTCAGGCGATGTTTCGTTAGAAAGCTACGATTTAGTTCAAAACTAGTATTAGATTCGGAATCAGCGTTAAAGATTGAGTCGATTTATATATGTTGTGAATAATTCTGAGAAAAACACTTTTTTTTTCAAAAAATCTCTGTACCTCCCTCAGGGATAGTCTGCTCAATAGTGACAATTTTTTCGATAACTCAGTCATTTCTTGACAGATTGCTTTCATCTTCGAACTCGACTGAGATATTAATGAAATCATTATGTGTACAAAATTTCATGACAATTGGGTGAGGCTTTCAAAATTTATCGTGTTAACGGCCGGCCGGACACACCGACCGAATCTAGAGTGTACTCATTTTTTTTGGAGTACACAAAAAACTGTTTGAAACACACAATTTGACTGCCTGAGAAGTTCAATTCCAGTTTAGTCATCGTAAAATCAATATTAAACTGTGATTTCATTTCACAAGATTATTTTGAAGTCAACAACAAATCAGTTTTTATTGATATCTAAGATGTTGCATCAGCGATATCGAGATCTTTGCTTTGGTGGGCATTCTATGCGAATCTCTTTCAACATAGAAGAGTTTCACCGAATGCTCACAGGAAAATCATATCGATACCTATGATATAGAATCTTCTTACATGTGAATAAAAATTGATGTATAATCAAATCCAAAATAACCTTGTAAAATAAAGTCAAGGTTGACTATCGATTTTGAGATTAATGAAATAGGCTTAAATTATTCGAACAGCAATGTCAATAATTTGATAAAATTCTTTCAATTTATACTGTTCTTTATTTTGCTTTTAATTTTAGTTACTGTTCGTGGCTCAACAGATGCTGATTATTTCAAAGGAATTCTTCTAGTTGCAAAAGATCAAAATAATCAACACATCATTGGTACTTGGTCTTTATCAAATTCATCAATTAAAACAATTTCGTGTAATGAAACAGATAATACAACCATAACTCATCTGTCAACTGAAAATAAATTACAAATAGCCGCATTATGGCATGCCCCATCATTCATACCTGAAGGAAATATTTTTATAAAGTCAGTACTTTTTATTTTCAATGCATACCAATATATTCGAATATCATGCATACGTATATAGAGCAACTGTTGTTACATCATATGATGAGATTTATGTTGATTGTTTTAACATTACACTAAAGCCTAAACAAGTATGTTTAATGTTGACACTGATCTAAATAATATTTTCAGTTTCCTCTTAATTTCATTCAGAAGAATTCTTTACGTGTTCAATCGATACCAACAAATATTGAAACACGTATGATAGCAAATCCAAAGACAAAGATAAGTTGGGATTATAGTGATAACATAGTAACAGTAATAATGACATCAGAACCAGTTAATGTTGGAGAATGGACTGCTATTGGTTTTTCACTTGATCAAGACATGGTAAGGAAAAAAATAAATAAACTTCTTATTCTTAATTTTGATAAATTGATTGTTTCGATAAAAGGGTAATGAATACATATTTGTATGTCAAGTTTCATCTACAGGTAATGCATTGCTTCGACGAATGCATACAAAATTGGGCAAGCGACCGTAATTATTCTTTTCTTTTAAATCCTGTTAGTACATCTTTAATTGTACCGAATAGCCCATTGCCGTCTAGTGTACCAGTAAATATTAATAGCGCTGTAAGTGAGAATGGCGGTGTTACTTGCAAATTTTCATTTGAAACGAACTCTACACAAGCTGATAATGAATCAGCGCCAATAATCATCGGAGAAAACTATCATCTAATTTATGCAGCAGGACGTCTCAGAGCAGGAGGTATAATTTTTAAGAAATTCTTCTGATCACAATTTGATAAATATGTTTTTATCATATCAGAACAAGTAGCTAAGCATAATTTTACATTTGTTTCAACTAAAACATATCAATTACAAAATTCTGAAGCTATTGATCTTGACGAATCACTTGTAAGTTTAACTGGTGTAGTTTACAGAGTTATCCATAGATGCAACAATAGTTTATATGTCATAGACAACTACTACAGCAGCTCCACACGCAAACAATATTAGAGTTAATATTACTTGGTCATATGCTGATAGCATAACGACTGTGAAAATGGTCATTGATAATTTAAAAATATCTCAATGGGTTGCAATGGGTCTTTCGCTTGATGAATCGATGGTATTTTATTTAATTATATTTTACAGAATAGTAATTATATTTTCTTCTATTCAGGGACACGATCATGTATTTATTTGTCAACGTTTAAATGATAATACAATTTTACTTGACCGTTTTATTAATCCAGAAGGTCGTACACGACCAGCTTTAGCTAGTACAATAGTTAATCCAGGTGGTAGTTTTAATATTAGTCTACAAAAATTTGAAAATGGTATAACGTATTGTGACTTTACTTTGTCCAATTTCGCTGGTACACAACGTCGAAAACGTCAAAATAGTTTTCCTGCACTTTCTCAAACGGCTAGTTATCGACCACTCATAGCAATAGGAAATTTAGATAGTTCGAGTAAGTGTATCAATGTTAATATATATGTATTTAAATCGAAGAGGAATTTCTATTTGCAATCGATAGATAATCTAATGCAACATGCACAGAATTCACGAGAAGCACTATCGCAAACTGTTTTACTTAATAGAAACGAAATAATTATCTATGATCTACAATCCGTTGGATCGGACTCAACAGGTCTAATGAAAGCACATGGTATTATTATGCTATTTACTTGGATAGTGCTTGTTTCAACAGGTATTCTTGTCGCACGTTATTTCAAACAGTCGTGGCCAAATTCAAAAATCTGTGGTAAAGCTGTTTGGTTTGGTATTCATCGTACAATAATGACATGTGTGGCTACCTTAACATTAGTTGCATTTATTCTTATTCTTGTCTATAAAAAAGGTCAATGGATATCACAGAAAAATCAACGCGAATTTGCTCATTCAATAGTTGGTATACTTGTCATAAGTTTTTCTGTAATTCAACCATTTATGGCATTATTTCGTTGTAATCCAGATGATCGTTATCGATTCATATTTAATTATGTACATGCAACTGTTGGTTTTAGTGCATTAGTATTATCAATAGTAGCGATATTTTTAGCAATGTTTTTCACACAATTTCAATTTCAATTAAATAAAGAATGGTCAATTTTAGTTGTATGGTCCTGTTGGTTACCTATTGTTTTTATTATATTTGAAACGATTGAAATTTATTTCCGAAAGAAAAATCCATCATTAACAAACAAAGTAGATGCATATGATATGAATGATCTTCATGCAAATTCTAAAAATGAACCAAACGCAAACCAATCGAAAGAAAATCCTACGAAAGATCGAATAAAACTATTAGCTCTTTTACTTCATATTATATTGGCTTTTGGATTAGCATTAGCATTGATGATTCTTATTGGTAGATCGTAGAAATATTCAAAAACTGTTACTGTAAATACTTTTATTGTAATATCAACTTTATTCATATATTCATGTACTTTTCTTGTTCATTGGACATATAATATATAAAAACATAAAATAAACTATGATATGAGAGATGTCAATACATGGAAATCAACATTAGAATGATGCTCTTTGTAGGTCTAAACAGTGTAAAATCTTTCTTTTTATCGAATAAACGAAGTATCTTAATGCAAAATTCAATTCAAACTTGTTCCAACTGATTTTTACATAACAAGTCATTCAGCCTATACTAAAACTTTTGGATAAAACAGAGATAGTTTATCTATTTGACTAACTTGAATAAAAATAAAAATAGCATTTTCAATTGATGTTGTCTAGGGTTATAAAAAAAAGTTATATTTTGACTTCATAACACTTTCTAATTCGTTTTATTTTAAAGATCATATAGACAAAAACTGAACGAATTTTGATATTATCTTGCTTTTTAATGAGAATTATTTCGATTTACACTTATGTTGTTGTCATTCCAGTTGTGCAAAAAAGAAGAAGACAAAAGTAAGCAATGTTTTACTTGTGTAAAGGTCAGTGTTTTATCTAGGTTTTTCACTCCGGGAGGGCAAATTCAGTTGCCGGGAGGTCATACAAAAGTTTTTTAAGGGGGCGAACTATCACGAGTAATATCGAGTCTAGTATACTGATGCTGTCAAAAGGTATATGTTTTGTAGGTTATATAAAAGTTAATTATTTATTTCATTTATTGAAAAAATATACACATAATATGCACAGAACCAGCAAGCAATATATATATACCACAAGAAAAAAATCTTATCAATAAAAAACAAAAATAAGTAGTCAAAAATATAAGAACAATATAAAGATCTATTATATAATTCAAACTGCTAAACGACGTGGTTTTACTTTTTTCCAGTAATTGATGATTTCTTCTTTCATGTCTTCATTTAAAGTATCTACACCTTCGATTGAAATTCTCATCAATTGATCAACGTGTTCGGTTGTTAAACGATTTCTTAATTTTGTAAGTACGCGATTCATCGTTGAGAAATCTCTTTCGACTGTAGCCGTGCTAATAGGCGCAATGAGAAAGATTTCTGCGGCTAATGATAACTGCGGATAAATATCTTTTAGCATACCATCTTGAACAAGCTTCGTACAAACTTCTCGTTGCGTCATAAGTTTACCACCTTTTTTCTTGGTTAATAAATATGTACGAAATGTCCTCCATTCATAGATTATTGATTCGTCAAAGTCATTTGAATAATGTTGTTGAATAGTATGTATTTCTTTATCACCATAATCTTTATTATCATTCATATTTTCCATATCAAATATCATAAAGCAATTAAGTAAATCGAGATTGCTTGGTTCAAAACGAGCTTGAATATTATTAATAATGTTTTCGATAAATGGAAGAATTTTTGACTTGAAAACTTCATCAGTATTTAATTGTACATTTGATATTGATGATCTTGAATTTCGAATTGTTGAAGATACTAATGATAGTTTTTGAATTGTTTCAAGTATATTAACATAATCAATTGAACTAAAATCTTTAAGTTCTTCAAGTCGAAGCATAGTTGATGATATAAAATCTTGTAATTGTTTAAAATCAGCTGCTTTTGTTTGAATGGATTTTGATAGAACAGCTAAAGTATCTAATATTGGTTGAAGTGTATGAATAATAAATGCAGTTGCTTGATTTGATAAGATATTGTAAAGACCTAATGCTTCTGCACTGTCTTCGTTGTTTTCATTATAAATATTTTCTAATGTTACTAATAATGATTGGTAGGAATGTACAATAGATCGAATAGATAACGAATTTGAAAGCCAGCGAGTATCACCTGGTTGAATTAATTTAATATGTTTGCTTATAAAAATATCTTGAACATCTTCAAATAAAGTTAATCTTATCGATGATCGATTGATAAAATTAACTAATGATTTAAGTGTGGATAAGCTTTTACAAATATCAGGAATGCCATCTGCAGCAGATATCACAGCTAATTGTAATGCATGTGCTCGACAATGAATAAATAATATTGCAAGATTGAATGCAGCACGAAATTTAGCAGCAACACCATTACGTATTCCACTGAATACTGCAGCGCCATCAAATGCAACAAAGCGAATCTTTGTTAAATCAATATGTTTTTGTTGTAAATCCGTTACAATACAATTAAAAATAGATTCTGCATCTTTATTTTTTAAATGTAATAAACTTATGTATGTTTCAGTTGGTTCGCCAGTTGTTTGATCGCAATATCTGATACAAATACATAAATTTCCGTGTCTATTAATGTCAGTTCCTTCATCGGACATGATGCTAATAACTCTTGCTTGTTGTATTTTTTTGAGAACGTTCTTTTCCAAAATGTTATTTGTAGCTTCAAGAAGTTCAGTGACTGATGTTGTACTATTGTACGTAGCATTTTTGTGGCAATTTTGAAAGAAATCGGCAAGTTTAGAACTGTGATCAAGACGACCAATTAATTGTAATAATGGATGATACAGCGTTGTGTGTGGTAATTCGTTTTTAAAAAGGAAATAACAACAATCAAGTAAATCACTTAAGCGATCTCTATTTTCTTTCTTTTGCGCTTCACTTACCGTAACTATTTGATTGATGATGGAACCTTCTTGCTGTCGAAACTTGTCGTTTTCATGTGCAATTAGATGATATTCTGATCGAAAATGTCTCATTAATCTTCCATTATCACCTAACGCGTTTTTCCAATTACGGAATGGAGCTGAGGTAAATACACCTTTTGTTTTTTGTTCCATTTCCCGGAATAATGGTGTACCTGGCTTCCAATAGTTGCGGCATATACTACAAAATCCACCAACATTTGGTTGATAGAGAAGCCAAGGGAATTTCTGTGAATACGATGGCTTATAAGAACGTTTGTCAATTCTATCATTGATTGATGGTGAACCTAATTTTAATTCAGAATTATTCTTTGACGGATGAGTATTATTGGTTAGTGTTTTACTTGAGACTGAGTTGTTGTGAATGAATTGAATATCACTTGGTGGTACTTTGTTAACAGTTGAATGGTCGGGTTGACTTGCAACGATGTTCGATGGAGTAATAATATTTTCATTTTCAACACAAAACCTTTTTGCTAATTTATTCGTTTCATTATTTTCTTTCCTTTTTACGAAATATTTATCGAGAGAATTTTGCTTTGACATTTTTTTTAAACGATTTTCTAATCTTGATGTAGCTACCAAGATTAGATATAAAAAGATATATAGATACGAGCCTAGTATCAATGAGTAAAATGAAAATAAAAGATATGAGCATGTGTTAATTTTAAACGTTTATGATTTCATGAAGTTGATCGATGCAACATAATACTAACACGTCCAATTAAACATCGTTATTGGATTAATGTAACATACGTAATACACAATGTTCTGTTGTTTGATTCGTAATTAAATTACATATATACTTGTCTTTACATGCATTGTATTATTCATCCGATGGAAACAATAAGATGCGATGGACTCATCTTTTGAACGTTGAGAAAGCAGAGAAAAATTGCTATAACCTCATCCTATTAAGAGCAACAGTGCACAAACAAACGACTCGGATCTGATTGAAATAAATGACATGTGACAGTCATATTATATTAACGAAAATGAATTTGTTCTGTTTTAATAACATTATATTTTGTAACAGCTCCAAAAATCCCCCATAAAAAATACTTTTGAAAAAATTATATTGAATTTTTAAAAAATTTATTTCATTTTTCTCGGGAGGGCAAACGCGGCTCCGGGAGGGCAAAATGTCCCTTGCCCACCCGCTGGATAAAACACTGGTGTAGACTTCGATCAAAAAATAGGCATACTAATGCATGAGTTAAGTTTCAAACAATTTCAAGAAACATTATTATCATTTTTTTAAGTGCTGATTTATGAACACTTGCATCTATTTTATTACGATCAGTGAATATAGTATGAACAAGAAGAAAATTTTAAATCTAGAACTAGAATTATAGAAACAAAGAAATTCTATCATACACTTTACATTAACATATTCTTTTGTTAAGATTTCTGTATTAACAAATAGATCAAATAATTTGTCGACAGGATCAAATTCATCAACTAGTTTTACACTATATAAGTATTTGCTAGCAGATAAACAACACATTGACGATAACCTGCTGTTCAAACACTAAATAAAAATACATTGATCAATGAATAATGTTTTGGATTCAACAAAAGCTATCTTTCTACTTTTAATTGTCGTTAAAGTATTGCAATATTCATTTGATACTTATAATTTTGGTTGAAGAAGAGCAGCTAATCGACAATAATTCGAAACTTTAGAAAAATATAATTAAATATCTTTGATCACGACTGATCACCTGATTCATGTATCATGTATTTATAAAGAGCATCAAGTGAAAAATTTTTTTCAGATGAATTCCATTTCGAATTATTTTGTTGAACTGAAATCGGAAAAAATCAACTTTCTCTACACTTTTGAACAAACATTAATAAATCATTTAACTAATTCTAAATCGAAAATAAATCAAACAATTTGCTTCACTGCTTTTCTTATTCAATTATTTACTTGACTTCTATTTTCATTCCTAGTTAAAATC